CGGTAATGCAATTCTGCCTGTAATACTAACTCTTGTGCAGCTGTTGGTGGAGCTCGCCAGTGAATTCCAAAGCACAACGGAACGAGTAGGCCTTAACGAGATCAGTTAGCACATCACCACCATTCTTAGTTTATTCGATCGCAACCGACGGGACAACGGGCCCATGGCCCAGTGGTTAGATTGTTGAAATTCATACCAGTAGGCCGCGGCCCATAGCCTCAAGTGTTGCCACACCCAAGGATTTGGTATGGCTGGCTGATGGCGACTAATAAACCATAAATAGTCATTCTAGTTTATTATTCCCAGACATTCATTCGTTTAAGGGTCTTTCAAGAGTGCTATGAATGGGTTGGGCGTACATCCAAGCTTAGTTTGTTAAGTTTACATTGTCTTAACATATTTGCGTGGTCTTTTCTGGTACATGCAGTCCACATATCAGGTTCTAATATCTTTAAAACATCTGAATTGGGCTAGCTTATGCCCTCTCATATACTCTTCAGAAACGCGAAATTCATTTCTTAAAGGTTTCGGATTTTGTACTGCTCCTGATCATGCCTTTGCATTTTTGCCCCATAAGCATAACATATTTACCCTTTATTTCCGACTCCGATCCTTTTTTCTTAATCCTCGATTAACTGTTGGCTCTAATCTTATTTTAGGATTAGGCCCTGGCGCATTTCCACCCCCGGGACAGGGCGTCATGCCTGGTAGGTACAGATTTTAATCGCCATAAGATGTTAGGTCCTGGCTACGCCGTATATCCAGGTGAAAACGGTATGTTTGCAAATTACCGCCCTTCAAAATGAGTAGCCAGCGTTCATTTTTTGATTGTTAAATGTATGACTGGTTCTAGTTTGCCCCTGTTGTATCGGTTGGCCGATTTATACCATTTATGTTTATTTTTAGCACTTGCTGTCCCTTCTCATTCCTCATCGGTCCTCCGACAATCCGATTTTAGAAAAGCGTTTTGTAAATTTGCCATTTAGCTCTGGCGAGACCTAGAAGCTGACCTCATCCGCCGTTATTTAGCAGTTTGTCGTATACTCCTCAGTGCTTTGAGGAGAAATGCTTTTAGTGGCCCTTATTCAGTTTACGTCTCCCAACTACTTAATTGGTTTTTGCCAAATGTTTACCTTAAAACCTTTTGCAGTGACCTATTCCATTCCTTGGAGTTGCGGTCGTTCAAGCCTCCGCCTGTACAACAGCGCGCAAAGAACAGCCTTCGTCTGTTTCGTGGATTTTGCCTCTAATTTTCACTCTGCACATCGCGATTTCTGACGTTCGATTAAGTCGCAGAATGACCTGCTACTAAAGCTTTTTTAAACGCATGCAGTCCATTTAAATGGCGAGGACCATAACTACTGGTAGAACTTCCGGTGGCCATTTGAGTTACTTTCTCTCAGCAAAACTGTTCAACAAGTTGATAGACTGGTGTCTCCCACACACACGCATACGCACGCTGATAGACCACTCAAAATTTACAGTAAGCCTTCGTCCGTGCGCTCCAGGCCTTGACTAGGTTGACAATCTTGCGTTACTGGCGCGCTTATTTGCAGCATTTCGATCTACGAAAGCTGTGGAAGTAGTCCTCGCCCGATTCCTTCAAAACCTCTGGGACCGATGTGGACTTAGTCGAACGACTAATACGAGGTCTCCGTCCAAACAATTTTCCTGTACATATCTGAAACACTATGCATGCACCTAGAAGATGTACACCGGTCGGAATTATTCAAGCGATGATGCCATCGCTACATTCTCAATCTTCCTTTTCTTGCATGATTCCAACCAACAACAGAACTGGTCAGCTGCATACTTCTTACCTGCTTTGCAAACTGTCAGACCTGAAGGCGAAACCTTTCAGGACGTCATCTCACCCAACTTTTTCTGGACCTGATGCTCACGTGAGGACTAACTTATCTGTGGTCCAGTGGTCTTCAGTCTGGCCTTTCAGCCGGCTCGCATTTGCTGCTCTATCTACTGCCAATCAAGCGCCTTGAAGACTGTTTATTCGTGATGTGACCGATCTACAACCCGAAACCGGTTGGATCAACCGTTTTATGTACGCAAGTACTTAGATTTTTTCTATTCATTTTTCAAGAAGACAGATCGTGTCGATATTATTAAGATCAAATTAACATATCGGGGGTAGAAATTGAAAGCAAGCCTAGACTAATCCACCCCGGATAACATTATTGCATTCTGTAGACTGAACTATTTTGCTTGATGGCGTCTGCACAGACCGCGCGATCTGCATCAAGTTGGCGTAGTTCTGCCGTCAGGATTCTAGACCCTGCTTACTACCGTTGTCACTTGACACCAACCCGCTTCCCCTTTCCTCTTTGTTTGCACTCCTATCCGTATGTTTTAAGTTTGGGTTGTTTCTATTTGAGATCTCCTTAACCCCGTCCTGTGACATCATCGTGTCACATCTATCCACAGGCTTCGTATCTCCTGGTTCTCCAATACTAGCACCAATGCCTTATGGTCCAGTACCCGGCGGTAGGCCCCGATTTATGTCTAACACAACCAATTATAGCTCCTAACCTCAGCCCCCTACCCGGACAAATTGGTAATGTATCATTTTTGTTTTTAAAATTTCCTCCACGTTTTCATGTTGCTTAATAATGTTGTTTAGTCCTTCCTGATTCAGTGCTTGTTTCTTCATGTGAATAGATGCACCCGAGGTCAGAAGCTATGTCAAAAGACAGTCAGGATAAGTCTGTGGTGTGTGTGGCTCTGTAGAAATAAATAGTGAGGTCAACAGTACACGATAGACGGAAAGTGCGAGGTAGAAATCAAAAAGAGTGGATATATACTCGAAATGTTTAGACGAGCAATCGTGTGAATGCCGCAGGCGCGTTGCTGCCAGTTTTTAAGGGAATAAGCACACGGGGCAGGTAACAAAGAACGAGGGGGGCGAATAGGGACACAGTACGGGGAACAAAGACTATGGGGAGTGGTGAATAAGGACACGGGAATAAAGGTCGCAGAGTGTCAGCGAATGGGAAGGCAGTCAACGAGATAAAGAGGCAGGGAACATGGGATCAGGGCATGGGACACAGGACATGGAACAACAGTGGATGACTAAGTGGGCTTAAGGGCACATTCTTCGGCCTGGTCGGGTTCCTAACACGCAGTTAGTAGCAAATAAACCCGAATATGACATTGCCATGATGAATGCCACACTGTTCCTCCTCCTCCTCCTCCTCCTCCTCCTAGTTTCTGCTCCTATCCGTTCGTTCTAAGCTTGGGTTGTTGTTTCTCCTTGGGACCTGCTTAACCCCGTCCTGTGGCATCATCCTATCTCATCTATCCACAGGTTTCGCACCTCCTGGTTCTCCAACGCTGGAACCAATGCCTTATGGTCCAGTACCCGGCGGTAGGCCTCGATTTATGTCTAACACAGCAGTCTACGAGTTCATGTTCCCCCTCCTCCTCCTTGTTTGTGCTTCTGTCCGTTTGTTTTAAGCTTGGGTTGTTGTTTCACTTTGGGATCTTCTAAACCCCGTTCTGTGACATTACTGTGTCGTATCTATCCACAGGCTTAGTATCTCCTGGTTCTCCAACACTGACACCAATGCCTTATGGTCCGGTACCCGGTGGTAGGCCTCGATTTATGTCTAACACAATCAATTTTAGCAGCTAATCTCAGCTCCCGCCCCGGACAGAATGGTAATGAATCATTTTCGTTCGGCAACTTTCCTCCACGTTTTCTTATTCTTATTGCCCGTTTGCGTTATTTCGTGTGCGGGCTTGGCCTCACTTCAAACGCATGTTACTTTTGTCTTGGCCCACATCTGCAAAAATGACAGTCGGTCATTCGCGGCATTGCAGGCAATCCGTATCACCAACAAGGTGGTTGGGATTGTTTGCTATCCCTTCCCACCCCCGTTTTCATCATATTACGTTTCGCAAATCTGTCTAGGCGCTGTAGACGAACTCGGCGGCCGACCATTTCGTTTAAATTTAAGAACCCAACTCGCCTTTTACTAGCATCAAATTACTCGAATCGTGTTCTTCTCTACGCAACTTCTTGCAGTTGTTTTGAAACTGGTGCACACATAGGCAAATTACATTTACATATTTATCAGGACTACTACTTCCCCATCGAATTTGATGACTACATAACTGCCAGCTCTATGCTTCCTGTAATGTCAGTGCTGGGTGGGAGGGGAGCAGTTTCCAAATCCATAATTTCTACGCCACTTCCGGCAAGGATTTTCATTTAAAGACAACTTATTCCCTGTCTGTAACCCCCGATTGTTTATGCCACCCCTTAGCCGCGCGTTTTAACCGCCCAGTAGTAGGTCTGGTTGCTAATACGCAGGCATGCTCGTGTCATCACGCATCTTGCATGACAGTGCCGACTCATATGCCCTGACCTCATTAGGATGCATGCCCATCCATACCATGGGGATGGTACAATGAAGTGTGTTGCGCACGACTCCTCCCA